TCTCTAATCGTACTCTGGTTCTCGTTAGAACTGTCAGAGACACTACCAGTATCGGTGTGCTGGTGTTTCAATCTTTTAGCAAGTTCAGCAAGAGGTATATCATCTTCTTCAGTGGAATCATGTTTGATGATTCGTGGTTCAGAGTCATTTATATCGTAATCTGCTTCGTCATTGCTGGATTCTGAGGAAGGAGGAACAGCATAATTAGCATTCCGCTTGGGTCTTCCTTCTTTGTCTTTGGTTATATCTCATTCATCCAAGTTTGCTATCTGCAAATGCTCTGCATGAGCCTTGGTGGTTGTGCCATCCAGCTGTTTGCGAATTATGTAGGTCCCAGGTGACGTCTGTTCGATGACTCGGTAGTATGGTTGCCATTTATTCTGTAACTTTCTCTTTCTTTGATGTATTTTATAGTACACTGGATCTCCAAACTTGATAGTATTTGGTTTGCTGTTTTGATAGTCGTTTCTTTGCTTTCTTCATGTTACGATGTACGCTCACAAAGGATTGGTGTTGCAGAGCCAATTTATGCCATTCTTCTCCAGTGTATTTTCTGCTGGGTTTCAGCAGGTTATCCATAGGTGACACGGCATATCTATTATACAATAGATAGAAAGATGAAACTTGATTTACTTATGATGAATCGAATGGTTGCAAGAGTTTGGTTGAGGTGCAGATCCCAGGTTGTTAGGGAGTCTCTTGGTTGTAAGCCAGTTTCTTGGCTTGGACATCATGCAATGTGCATGATAGAATTAGGTCTTCACATCGTGTATCTTCAGTTGTTCCAAAGTCTCCTTTACTATCTTATTTACATTCTCTGTCTCGTTATCAGTTACAGCCAAACCGCGGGAAAAATCTTCTCTATGATCAGATGTGCAAGTTTCAATTCAAAACAGCGAATGCCTCTGGCCAGCTGGAGTTGTGATCTTTTATTATCTTACCCTCGTGTAAAATACTTAAATTGCATTGGTCAATGACACTTTAACAAGATTCTTAGTCACCCCTCCCACCCCTCATAAAGAGTGGTAGTTTAGAGCTCATTTTTTTCCTAGTAAAAAGTATGGATTTTGTTTTAATTGGATTAAATGAAACTTTCTATTTTATTGCCCACTATGAAATTTTAGCCAGGTAGCGAGCCGCAACTGCTGGATCTTCGATAATGATATATGGTGAGGTGTCATCAGCAAATATACGGATGTTACTCTATACCATTGGTAATGTCATTTATATAAATTATGAACAGCAAGGGTCCAAGGACTGACCCATGTGGAACCCCAGCTAACACAGCCCGCTCAGATGACAACTTTCTGTGTTCTTTCATTTATAGCTTCTAAACCAATTTAATAGTTTACCTTTAATACCGTAAGACTCCAGTTTATGGATTATGCCTTTATGCCACACTTTGTCGAAGGCTTTACTTATGTCACAGAATACAGCTCTAATTTCTTTGCATTGATCTAATGTTTTTGATATAAAGTTGTAGAGAAATGTTAACTGATTAGAAATTGAGTCACAAGGCATAAAATCTAATTGCAGGTCCGAAAGTATATTGTTATCATTAAGGAAATGGAAAAAGTATTTAAAGACGCATTTTTCAAAACCTTTAGCTAAACAACTTGTTAAAGCAACTGGCCTGTAATTACTACATTCGTGAATACAACCCTTCTTGTGAATTGGCACAACCGTCGCTTCTTCACAGATTTTCGGATACTCACTATGCTTTGAAGAGATATTAAATAACTTCGCTAGAGGTTTGGCTATTTGATTGGATAACATTTTAAGAATGTAATACTTAAGCCGTCCGGACCAGACGCTTTTGTAACATTGAGATACAATAGAATGTCCATTACCACATTCTATGTCGCTCAAAGATCCAGTTGGTGTTATAACAATATCTTCTATATAGGAAATTTGTTCTGGTACAACAGCCTGATTAGTGAAACAATTGTTTAATATATTTGCAATTTCCTGATCGTCATCATACAATACATCATTATGAACAATATATGGGAATGAACTTATGGATTTATTGGTTTTATTGCTTTATCAAGCGCCACCACGTTTTACTACGTTATGTGAACTTAGTTTTTCGTCAATGTCATTAATATAACGTTGTGTTTTGTTTTGTTTTTTTGCTTTCCTTACTTCGTTTATAACGGAATTTCTTATTTGTCTGAAGGTACTCCATGCCTGAGGCGAATTTTTCTTTTTTGCAATCTTATGTTTTCGGTTGCGTTTTCTGATTAAACTGCGTATAACCTTATTCATCCATGGAGAGTCACTAGGGCACATGGTAACAGTTTTGTTAGGTATACATGTATTTCTGCTACTTTTAAACACAATGAAGATTTCAGCTGCGATTTTAGAAACATCCTGGGATATAAACAGGGATTCCCAATGCATATTGTCAGCTATGTCCGTAATAAAAGTCATATCTATGGATGAAAAATCAAATATTTGTCTTTGGTATGTATTACATTTCTTAAGTTTTTCTTTGATGGTAACAGATATTGGACAGTGGCCACTACATATAGGATCCACGACTCCAGACTCTAGGATATTGTCAGCACTAGAAACAAAAATTCAGCCAGTCAACCCCGGATGCTGGTATTCAAACTCAAAACCCTTTATTCTCCAGAAACCGCCAACGGCGGTACATGAGATAAGCGTATATACATTTACATAATATACAAGATAGCAGCTTACAAATTACAACAATGTTTCATTTTTTTCAAATGCATTAGATATGTGTTTCACTAATTTAGAATGTCCTTTAAGATCGCTTATGCTGGTAGTAGACTAGAGTTTCTTAAGGATGGATAAATTTGAAAAATCTAAGTATTTAGCGTTCAGAGATTGATGTTGCAGTTTGGGAAAAGCTTCACATCTAAACACGTAGTGAAAATCGTCTCCAACAGCGTTTGAAACACAAAGTGGACATTGTCGGTCTTCACGTGGAATGCTCAGCCATGGGCCTGTCTCAATTGGTAATGTTCTGAACTTCAAAATTGGGTAACATATGCTTTTTCGAAGATCTAGATGAATATAGTTTTCTAAGATTGGTTGGGTTTTGAAATGTTTATGATAATCCCACTTGGAACTTGATTCAACATTAGACTTCCAATTCGGAAAAAATGGGATGTGTAGGTGTTTTCGACCATTGAGACAAGCCAGGGCGTCGGGCATACAGACGGATTTAGAAACACGTGGGATAGACCACAGTTATCAAGGATATGGGATTTAATTTGTATTGTCACAGATGTGGTTAACATAGTTATATATAATCTTGGATGGTCTCCAATTTGTGTTCTCGGAGGCTAAGTTATGCCAATGTAAAATATATCGTTTATAGATTTTGATACTCAAAGGCTCTCTTCCAAATTCACTGTAAAGCATAAAATGTGGGGTGCTATTTCTCAAACCGGAAGCTAATTTCAGGAATTTTAAGTCAATTCTTTCTATTATTTTTCGTGTCCCCACATCTGAGACAAGTTAATTGAACAACCATTACGTCAAATGCATCTAAAAGTCAATTTAAGGGTAAATTAACGTTCCTTGATTTCTTTAAAAGGCAATACATTGCTTTGGTAGCGCTTTCCGTAAGTGCTTTAATTGCTCGGTAAAATCGCCCATTCCTGGGGAATATAATTCCAAGGTAATCGTATGTATCTACAATATTGATAGTTTCAGTTCCATAGGTAAAGTGAAGTTTAAAAGTGAAGGGCCACTTCCAAAGATAACTACTTTAGTTTTGGACAAATTTACTTTAAGTTTCCATTTCTTACAGTAATGAAAGAAGACATTCAGGGATTTTTGTAAATCCTTTGGATTTTCACCGAACAGTGCGGCACCATCTGCGTATAACAATATAATAAAATGATGTAAGAGGTCAATATTGTTAATTTGCGTTTCATATTTAAAACCATTACAACTTGAGGTGTTGTTCAAGATGATTTAGGTATATGGAAAACAAGAGGGGCGACAGGTTTTCACCTTGTCGCAGACCTTCGTAACACGGGAATTCATCTGATATGGTATTTCCAATCATTACCCTAGATTTTATGTTATGATACATATTTCTTATGAGCGTGAAATATCTCCCATCTATCCCAGTTTTTGTTAGTTTATGCCACAACCCAATTCTCCAGACTTCTCCATGCTTTAGTGAAATCTACAAATATCGTATATAGTTTCTTTAGAGAGAGTTTTTTGTATTTGGACCATCACTTGCATAACAAAAATGTTATCACATGTTGAAGACCCTTGTCTGAAGCCTGCTTGAGTTGGGTAAAGTACTAGTATATTGTTGGTATCTAAGAAATCAATGTATTCAGCCTGTTATTTAACACTCTTGTAAAACGTTTACCAAGTCAACTTAAAATTGTTATAGGTCTGTACGAGTTGGGATCCAGTTTACACCCTTTACCTTTATATATTGGCTTAACAATGCCAGTAAGCCACGAATCTGGTAGAATACCCGATGATAATACAAGGTTGAAATGTTCTCAAAACAGAGGTATAAGTTGATCCATTGAGTCAATCAGAAAATCATTTTCGATTAAATCAACGCCCGTTGCTTTGTTTCTTAAGTTGTTTTCCCGCAAATTTTATTTCTTCTCGTGAAATGTCGTTGTTAAGGGACTCAGTATTGAAAATACATGTATCAGTCCATTTCTCGTCGAGATCAGCCTCGTTCGGTTCGAATTCCTCACTTATTTCAACAAAATAATTGTAGAAAGTGTCAACATCGGGGGAATTTTCAATTTGTTGAGCATGCTCCAATATTCTCAAGGTTAACTTTTCTCTTCTTATTCTTACGGAATAGGTCATTAATTTGAAGTTGATAGTTTCGTATGTGTTTGTCTCAACCTTTTTTTTTGTGTCGAAAATGTGCTAATTTTGATATTTTAACTTTATATTTAGCTTTTTGGAATAACAGTTCACACACCTTGCTTTGACTGATATTGTTATGAAATGTGGACGATAAATCAGTGTCATACCTTATTACACCTGGGCTCAAACGATTTCGGAGTCACCACCGGCCGGTAGCTTTTTGAGCAGATCAACGAGGAGCTTCTCTGCACTCAGTTGCAGCTTCCCCACACCAGACTCCTGTGGTCTAATATGTTGCCGCGGTGTTGCTGGCGATATGCCAAAGACATTACAGTTCATTTGGCATAAAAGCGGGGCGATTAATTGCAACTCGAAAACTTATAAACATATAATACGCAATAAAAAGCTGATAATAATCAGAACATCAGGCCAACAATGAGGAGCAGTCAGGTGTGCGAGAAGCACATGCACAAGTGTCGACAAAGTTATTGATTCATTTATCTGTGGTGTGACACATGCACGATGAAATACCAGCATGCAGTTACGTCTATTATTTACAAAGTCTATTCAAAGCTGAATCACATATGGCTAGACCCAAATATGCAATTTCAAAATATGTTGAACGGATTTTCTGAGCGAAAATGAAAACACGTACTGAGCAGAAGAAAGGGCTTTTCAACCAACAGTAACACGCCTGAAGGGGCTGTTTCAAAACCAGTGAAGGTAGTACATTCATTCTCCGCTAACAGCCGCCAATCCACTTTTGTTAACTTTTAAAAATTAACTTTATTTTTTCATACCATGTATTTAATTACAATTGGATAGTGCCTACGTATGATGTTAAAACAGCTTCCCTCAGCAGTCGTAGATATCTTGATGCAGACACTCAAACATAGACCAAAGATTTTGTCACGTGACAGATACGTTACCTCTAGGATGTCTGTTTGGGATCAAGTAATTACATTTTTCGTGCAATTTTGAATGTATTCATTTTAAAACTTGAGCATCAATGCACTTAGGAAAAGAAACGCGCATTAGTTGAATTGTTTTACCCTTACTGTTACAAAATAATAGAACGTATCTTTCAAATTTTCAAAGCAAACTAAAAACAGTCTGTATTTTGAAGAAAACAAAGTTTTATTTTCACCAACGTGTCAAGAAATGTTCTCAGTTAATATAGCAGTCAATGGTTCTTCACTTGAGGCTTAGATGCAACCAACAAAATAAAGCACAATTATCATTTATTCATGGCATATAATAATCCATTGCTGATTATGAAAAAACACATACAGAAAATTATACGGGTACAATCACAAATCAAAAGTGCAATGTTTTGATGTATATGTTACTAGTTTGGCTCTTTGAAACGACACTAAATGGTGTTGTCAAGTAACTGAACAAATAATATTTTTATTGTCACAAACCAATCAGCATGTGTCTCATTTCGCAGACAAATATGCAGTAACGCATCTGTTCTGAAGACAGTCAATGTTTCAGTCCCGGTGTATGACAAATCACGACAAACTTAAACAGCTGCAAGGAGCGAGCATAACAATTTTAGATTAACAATTTAACTTTAAAGTTACCTTAAATACAACTGGACTGAGTGAGTGAGTGAATGAGTCAGTTAAAATTACAGTTACATCGGCAATATTTCAGCCATATCGTGACTTCAAAAGATATAAACTCATATTAAACACAAATGAATTGTAGAACCCGCCAACAAAGGGCAATAAAACAACTAGAATATCAAAGATAGAGAATTAAAACTAGCATGTAACTGTAAATTCGACAAACTATTATAGACAATACAATATAATAAACGGGCTGGAGATCGCCAGCAACTGAAGGTAGGTCACCATACTAGGGACCATGGGAACTACAGTACCTTTGCTACCTGCATGGACCCTAGCAGGAACTACACCATTCCTTCAGCCACTGGTAATTAAATACAATTGGACAAGTTTCATGTGTGTTATTTTGTACGTGAAAAGTACTATGCGAAGGTATCCTGAACCTTTTGTTGGTGGACTGACAATGAAGGAATTTAACCCTTCTAAATCCACTTCCAGAACCTTTCCAGCGTACCATTACTGTAGTCACCATGCACTGCAGTAATGAATGACTTTACGTCTGGTACCTGTCTTGGATTTAAAGAACTGAGAGCATCCATTGATGGCTCTAGGAGCTGGAAGATTCTCATTTACAGATCCTTTTTCACCAAAACTCCAGTCATGAGAACCTCATTTTGGTTTTGTGCGTTAACATTGCAGATGACATGTTTTGTCTAACAATCACAAAGCTGAGGAGGTAACATATATATAAATCATTTGGATGTTGCTTTAGACATTCTTGTATGTTAATTTCCTCAACAATATACCATTCTCTTTTTATACTGATGCACAGAAAAACGTGATTCAGATACATGAGCTTAATAGAAGAGATACGTTACTTTGAAAATCAGATATGTTACAAGCAGAATGATCAGTAGACATATTTTTTATTATTTCTATTTAATCTGCAAACATCCATGCTAAACTACAAGTCAAAGAGCACCCAGTAAGCCAGAAAGGAACTGTGATGACCATCATATGTTGTTAATTACCTATTTTCACTAGAGTCCCCCTACAAATATGATGATAAGCTTTAAAAATCTTCTTCCTGTGTACTTTTTAGCTGGTAATGTGTCAAATGACAGACCTCACACCGACTGTGCAAATAACGCGCAATGTAATATTAGCCGGAAATTTATTTTTTTTACACATACAGCAACGAGTAACGTAACTGTTCGTGACGTATTTGTTTGGCAAAAGCGTTTCTGGCTTCGTTTAACACAGGTGTAAACTGTAATCAGCAATTTTCAGGCTGTATGAACTAAGTAAGGTGAGGGTGTTGCATGTATGTATGCTATACGGCAGTGAAGAATTTACGTTTCGATTAATTATAGGTTCCCTGGTAACGTATCCGTTCAAAATCTCGCGTACCAGCCACAATCCAACTGAAAACACAACATTGGTAGAGCAAATTGTTATCTTACGCTATTCTGCAGGCCTTAGACATCCTTGCAGAATAGTTTACATTAACAACAATCAGTTACACCTAAACACACAGTACAGTGCATTTGTAGTAGCAGTGACGTCTCTGTTCGCCTGTGTGGCGAGAGCATCATTTGATGTCTTTGGAGGAAAGACATATGTTAGGCTTTTATATTTTACACAGAGCTAATCGGCAGCATGTAAGACAATAAACTGGCTCATGCCGATTACAGATGCGATTTTAGAGAAACCATATCTACCAAAGAGTGCTCTGGCGACAACATTATTTGTACATTTCGCCTACTTTAGACAACTATGAAATCAACACATACGGAGACATTGCCATTTGTTTTCTATTAAAAGAATAGATCTCACACTGATACTGAAAATCGACTGTAGTTGGTGGTTTATATGGCTAGTTTAAGAATGAAACGATAGTGCAACACAAAATTATGGTATTGGCGCCTGATAGTGGAGAATGAATGAGTAAAGCTTGATTCATTTTAAAAAGAACTATCAGGAGGTGATATGGTCAAAATAAATTCTTTTCTTTGTGTGTTTTGAAAAAGCACAAGGAGAACAGATATTCCCTTGTAACATCCAAACATCAGTTATGGCTACTGCTACACAAATTTGGGTTCCCTTATAAAAAGATTAGCGTTGAAAATAGATGTGTTCACTGTGAAAGATCCGACCTTATTCGCTTACGAAATAGCTACTTGTGAGCAATTAGGGCAAACGCGTAATGGGTGGGGTGAATATGGTTTTACGCCGCTTTTAGCCATATTCCAGCAATATCACATTGTGCCCATTTTGGGAATCGAACCCAGGTTTTCGGCGTGACGAGCGAACGCTTTAACCACTAGGCCACCCCACAGGCCCTCATAAACGTAATGAAGGTTTTGAACCTGTTTTTTGTGGATGCAACGTGGGTGAATGCCAGTCACACCGTAGGTACCCTATGGGTTGCCAGTACATCAACAGAAACATGCGTCCGAAAACACCCACCTGGCAAGGGGTGGGTGAGTGAGTTAATATTTATCGTCACATCGGCAATATTTCTGCCACACCGTGACGAGAACAATCAATTATCATAGTAACATAAATAAATTTAGAAATTAGAAACCTTTGACGATGACCAGTAAAAATACTAAAGTATCACAGAGAAGGTAAAACTAGCATGTAATCATAAAACGATATTATTATACAGAACAATACAATATGAAAACGGGCTATGGGTCACCAGCAACTGAAAGTAGATCACCATACTGGGGACCATGGAGAATTCCTTTACTTTTGCTACCTGTTATGAAACCCTGAAATATCGATCCCTTGTAATGGAAAAATCACTTGGCAAAGGTGAGCGTTTGATGTGTTACATGCAGGATGTAAAAGTCAGCTGTTTTTTGACTGGTTGTTCGCTTGTAGTTAAAGCAAAATGCCAAGACAATCGTGACTATCACACCGAGATGAATGGTGAGGTGTTTTTAGGATGGCTACAAAGGCAGCTTGTTCCCGCCTTGCCTCCCAAACGATTGCGGCCGTCTCCTCCCTTTCTCGCACACCTGGTTGTTCCCTTCTTTGCATTCCTCCCTCGTAACAAATAGTGAACTGTATCAATATTTTAATGATAGTTTGTTAAACAACGTGTTTTTGTTTTTAGGACATAAATTCTTTTGAAAAGCTCGCAGAGTTGGTCTGATGTTTTGATTATGAACAGCGTTTCATTGAGTTTTATATGTTTATTAGTTTTCGAGTTAGATTACCTGTTTGAGTGGCATTTTAGAATAGAATTAGAAACTTTATGGATAACAACTTCTTTCATTTATAATGTTTGACAACGCTACAAGAATCTGTATCGAAACAATTATCTATGCAAGGTTTGACCCATCCTGCCACCCTCTACCATGTACGGAACCAGAGTTCCCTTACTTGTGCTCGCTATAGCGTGAGGCGCACATAACATGTCACAGGTACACATACATGGCAGGACGATAAGACTGCAGATTAAAAGTTCTCTGGTATGTGTCATAGAGATTATTCCAGTTTACAAGCCTACATGCAAGCGCTCATAACCATTAAAAAATGCTTACCTCTATATATCTGGACCCGTCACTTGAGCTGTCACGTTCTGCACAGGCATGCTACAACCGGGCATTCATATAGTCGATTCCAATGAAAAGTGTACACAACAAGGTACAAGGTGTCTAAAATAGAATTGCTTGCACCTTGTAAT